GTGCAATACAGTGCTGAGAAGAATGTATATTCTATGGATTTGGGGTGGAGAGTTCTGTAGATATCTATTAGGTCTGCTTGGTCCAGTTCTAAGTTCAAGTCCTGGATATCCTTGTTAATTTTCTGTCTCGTTGATCTGTCTAATATTTACAGTGTAGTGTTAAAGTCGCCCACTGTTATTGTGTGGGAGTCTAAATCTCTTTGTAGGTCATTAAGAACTTGCTTTATATACCTGAGTGCTCCTGTATTGGGTGTGAATATATTTAGGATCATGAGCTCTTCTTGATGCATTGATCCTTTTACCATTACGTAATGTCCTTCTTTGTCTCTTTTCATCTTTGTTGGTTTAAAGTCCATTGTATCAGAGACTAGGATTGCAACTCCTGCTTTTTTTGCTCTCCAATTGCTTGATAAATCTTCCTCCATCCCTTTATTTTGAGCCTATGTGTGTCCTTGCATGTGAGATGGGTTTCCTGGTTACAACACACGGATGGGTCTTGACTTGTTATCCAATTTGCCAGTCTGTGTGTTTTGATTGGGACATTTAGCCCATTTACCTTTAAGGTTAATATTGTTATGTGTGAATTTGATCCTGCCATTTTGATGCTAGCTGGATGTTTTGCCTGATAATTGATGCATTTTTTTCATTGTGACAATGGTCTTCACCATTTGGTATGTTTTTGGAGTAGCTGGTACTGGTTGTTTCTTTCCTTGTTTAGTGCTTATTTCAGGAGCTCTTGTAAGGCAGGTGTTATAGTGACGAAATCTCTCAGCAATGCTTGTCCATAAAGTATTTTCTTTCTCCTTCGTTATGAAGATTTGTTTGGCTGGATATGAAATTCCAGGTTGAAAGTTCTTTTCTTTAAGGATGTCGAATATTGGCCCCCACTCTCTTCTGGCTTGTAGGGTTTCTTCAGAGAGATCTGCTGCGAGTCTGATGGGCTTCCCTTTGTGGGTAAGTTGACCTTTTTCTCTGGCTTCCCTTAGCATACTTTCCTTCATTTCAACCCCAGTGAATCTGACAATTGTTTGCCTTGTGGTTGCTCTTCTTGAGGAATATGTGTGTGGCGCTCTCTGTATTTCCTGGACTTGAATGGTGGCCTGGCTTGCTAGGTTGGGGAAGTTTACCTAGATAATATCCTGAAGAGTGTTTTCCAGCTTGGATTCATTCTCTCTGTCACATTCAGGTACACCTATCAAACGTAGAATAGGTCTTTTCACATAATCCCATATTTCTTGGAGGCTTTGTTCATTTCCTCTCATTCTTTTTTCTCTATTCTTGCATTCTCATTTTATTTCATTGAGTTGATCTTCAATCTCTGATATTCTTTCTTCTGCTTGGTTGATTCAGCTATTGAAACTTGTATATGCTTTGCGAAGTTCTTGTGCTGTGTTTTTCAGCTCCATCAAGTCATTTATATTCTTCTCTAAGCTGTTTATTCTAGTTAGCATCTCGTCTAACCTTTTTTCTATGTTCTTAGTTTCTTTGCATTGGGTTAGCATGTGTTCTTTTAGCTCTGAGTTATTACCCACCTTCTTTTTTTTTTTTTTTTGAGACGGAGTTTCGCTCTTGTTACCCAGGCTGGAGTGCAATGGCGCGATCTCGGCTCACCGCAACCTCTGCCTCCTGGGTTCAGGCAATTCTCCTGCCTCAGCCTCCTGAGTAGCTGGGATTACAGGCAGGTGCCACCATGCCCAGCTAATTTTTTGTAGTTTTAGTAGAGACGGGATTTCACCATGTTGACCAGGATGGTCTCGATCTCTTGACCTCGTGATCCACCCACCTCAGCCTCCCAAAGTGCTAGGGTTACAGGCGTGAGCCACTGCGCCCGGCCATTACCCACCTTCTGAAGCCTGTTTCTGTCACGTCATCAGATTCATTCTCTATCCATCTTTGATCCCTAGCTGGTGAGGAGTTGTGATCCTTTGGAGGAGGAAAGTCATTCTGGTTTTTGGTGTTTTCATTTTTTTTTGCACTGGTTTCTTCCCATCTTAGTGGCTTTTCTACCTGTGGTCTTTGTAGTTGGTGACTTTCAGATGGGGTCTCTGAGTGGACATCCTTTTTGTTGATGATGAAGTTATTTCTTTCTGTTTCTTCGTTTTCCTTCTAATAGTCAGGCCCTCTGCTGCAGGACTGCTGTAGGTCCACTCCAGACCCTGCTTGCCTGGGGATCACCCATGGGGAATGCAGGACAGTGAGGGTTGCTGCCAGTTTCTTCTTCTGTTATATTCTTCCCAGAGGGTACCTGCCAGATGTCAGCCTGAGCTCTCCTTTATGAGGTGTCTCTTTGGGTATATGGGGGTTGGGGAGGTTTTTGAGGAGACAGTCTGTCCCTTATAGGAGCTGAAGTGCTGTGCTGGGAGCTCCGTTGTTCCGTGCAGAGATGCTGGGCAGGTACTTTTAAGTCTGCTGCAGCAGAACTCATAGCCGCCTCTTTTCCCAACTGCTCTTTCCTAGGAAGGTCAGTTTTATTTTTAAGTTTCTGTCATGCTGCTGCCTTTTTTCATAGATGCCCTGCCCCCATGGAGTAGTCTACTCACAGTCTGCCAGCAGAGGCATTGCTGAGCTGCTACAGGCTCTGCCCACCTGCTGTATGAACTGCCTCAGTAGTGGCAGACTGCCTCAGTAGTGGGGAATGCCCTTACCCCCACTGAGCAGGACCATCCTGAGTGTAGCTGTGCTTCCTGTGAAATTCTCAATCCAGACCGTTTCAGATTGCCTGTTTTGTGGGGGTGGTACCCACCAAGCCAGATCACCTGGCTCCCTGTCTCTGCCCTTCCCTTTCAGTTGAATGGGCGGCTCTGTCTCCTAAGCATTCCAGGCACCAGTTGAAATGGCTGCCCAGATTTATGTGAGTTTCTGTGCAGCAAGCCAGCACCAGCTGAAACCGCCATGCTGAAAACTCATGGTGCTTTTTGACCCAGGAATCTCCTGGTCTGTGGGAAGTGAAAATTTGTTTGGAAATGCGGTGGGCACTCACTCTCTGCGTTGTTCCTGCTGGGAACTGCACTCCAGAGCTGTTCCTATCCAGCCATCTTGGATCTCTACCTATATGGTCAATTTTAGAATAAGTATGATGTGGTGCTGAGAAGAATGTATATTCTGTTGATTTGGGGTGGAGAGTTCTGTAGATATATGTTAGGTTCGCTTGATCCAGATCTGAGTTCAAGTCCTGGATATCCTTGTTAATTTTCTGTCTTTTTGATCTTGACAACAAGATGAGTGGGGTGTTAAAATCTCCCACTATTATTGTGTGGGAGTCTAATTCTCCTTGTAGGTCTCTAAGAACTTGCTTTATGAATCTGGGTGCTCAAAATGATCTCTGTCTTTGACTTTTGACAATTTGATTATTATGTGTCTTAGTGTGGATTTCTTTGGATTCATCCTATTGGGTCATTTCAGCTTCCTAGATCTGGATGTCCATTTCCTTTTTTAGATTTAGGGAGTTTTCAGCCATTATTTCTTTAAGTAAGATTCCTAGTCCTTCCTGTCTTCTCTTCTGACTCCCATAATGCATGTACTGGTCTGCTAATTAATGGTGTCCCATAATTTCTTTAAGCTATTTTAGCTTTTTATTCTTTTCTTTATACCCTCTGACTGGATAATGACAGTCTGTGTTTGAGTCTGCTTATTATTTCTTCTGCTTGCTCTAGTCTGTCATTGAACTCCTCTATTGGATTTTTTATTTCAGTTACTATATTCTTCAGCTTTAAGACATCTGCCTATTCTTTTAAATTTTCTGTCTCTGTTGAAATTTTCTTTTTGTTCATGGATTGTTCTCTTGATTTTGTTGAGCTTTTCCATGGTGTATATTTTGAATTGTTTGTTAGGCAATCCATATATTTTCACTTCATTAGAGTTAGTTTCTGGAGTTTTAACTTGTTTCTTTGTTCGGATTTTGCTACCCTTTTTCTGCACATCATAAGAATCCACTACCTTTCTCAGTCATATGGATTGGCCTTTTACAGGAGAAGACATTCATCAGCCAACCAACCCAGAGCTTCTATGGGCTTTTTAAACCACTTTGCTAGTTTAAACTGCTTTCTTTGTTATTAGTGGCCCCCAGGCATCCAGAGTTTGTCCAGTCTCATCAATGCTCCTAGACAGGTAGCACCAAAGCCATTCTCTTGGTAGCTCCTGGAGAATTTAGAATGCTGGATGCATGTTCCAACCCTTTTCCTTCCCAGGGAGAAGCTGGGAACTGGGATTTTTCCCCTACTCTGTGTTAAGCCAGATACAGAGCTGTGGTGCGTGCCAGCATGCTAGTTGAAATTGCCGTTTTCTTCTCTGTAGCCCTCAGGATACTATGACATACCAGATACTTTCAACTCTGAAATAGGTGTGAAAGAAGCCAGTCTTTCAAGTGACACCTGGAAAAGTTGGTATTATATGTGCAGTCTGACTTCTCCCATTCTGAGGTAAAAGGTGGGACTGGGGGTTTCCTCCTGATCCTATGGAACTGTGCTGGGAGTTGGGATTATGATGAATGGATGTTCTGCTTTTTCTACAGATGTTTTGTTTACAATCTGGCTGGTTTCATACTCATCCAGGGTGCAGGAGCCTCTCCATGTGTTGCTGGGTTTCTCATAAAGGGAATTGATCTTTCTGCTGCAATTAAATCAGTGTATCCATTGGGGGAAAGAGGGTCCAGGGCTTCCTATTCTGCCATCTTGCTGATGTCACTTCTCTCCCTTATTATTTCATAAAACTATATGTGAATTTTTAATTGTCTCAAAGTAAAAGCTTAATTTGATTGTTTAAAAGAACCTCAAGTTTGCTAAAGTCTAAAATGTCTCCTTCAGCTGAGATTTTTTTGCTGGTATCTTTACTCTTCCCAATTATGAGCATGTCTAGTCTTTTTAATGCCATCACATTACAGTGCTCTTGAGATCTTCCCACCTACTAGGCTAATATTTTCTTGGCACAAGGAAAACATTGGTAATCAATTACTCCAGCAAAACTAACCCATTTTCCCCCCCTCCCCTTGTTGTCTATTTGAGGTTCTGGTGTGGGATGTATAACCGCTTTGACAAAGGGCTGCAGCCCAAGCAGAGTATGCTAGAGAGCCTCCTGGAAATTAAGAAACAGAGAGCAATGCTGGAGACAGATGTGCATGAACTAGAAAAGGTGAGGAGAAAACTCCCAAAGAGAGATATTCTTGCCCCTTCTGGGTAGGTCCAGCCTGCTTGGACTTGAGTTAATACTTGTAGAAAGCTGCCTGGCTGGCTTTTCTATACTCTTTGGCTTTCCATGTGACCCATGTGTATAAAGCTTTGTGCATAACTCCTTTTGTTACTTCCCAAAATGTGGTAAATATGTCACTTAACTAGAAAAAAACAAGTGAATTTGTTCCCTTATCTTTTTTTGGATCTGGATGGAATGATTAGCAGGAACAAGAAGGAATGACAGAGAAATCACATAGCATTTGTTATCCATCAAGAGAATAAGCATAATATCTTGGGTATGCTGATAAGAACAGTGCAATTGCTGTCTTCCAATTAGGAAAATCTTATAAAAGAAGATTTGTATTATTTCCCATGTAGACTGCAAACTCTGCTTATTGAGTGACCATGTTGGACACAGGTTACAGAAGTCAAAAAGCATTTCTTGTTGATTTCATAAACTGAGCTGCTTATGAAATGTAGGGATCCCTAAAGGTTTGTTTGAAGGACAGGGAAAGGGTATCTCTTATAAAAGAATTATTGGAAATGGTGTGCTATTCAGGAACTGGGTGTGAACCCACTTTAAGCCAAATAAGGCATAGCTTTCCTGCTCCCTGTAAGTAAACAAATGTCATTTTATTGTGAAAATAAATGTGTTGTAATTATATCAGATCCCAAACATTTTAATGTCCTATTGGGAGGCAACAACCAGTTACTTGGTTCCGTTTAAAAAAAAAAAAAAATGGTTTGTGGGAACTGGGGGGGGAACTAAAGCATAACTTAAAATCATAGAAAACATGCAACCCAGGAAGGCCCAGCCCTAAGTAGATTAGATGTAGTAGATAAACTTCTTCTTACGGCTCCTCTTTTAGCTACTAGCAGATTCTTCCACAAGGCCCTCAGGGAAGGTCCCCTATTCTAGACCCAGCCCTCTCACTTATCCCTGCCTGACTCCTGAGAAAGAATCAGATTCATTTCACATAGACTTAGATCACTCTGGAAAGGCTTCCTTTTGAAGTATGTATGTGTATTTATGTATGTGTTATTAACTTTCTTTTTTTAATACAGAGAAGAAAAACAAAAATGGCTTATAATATCACCCAGACAACCCTGTTGACTTTAAAAAAAAAAAAAAGGCAATATAGGTATAAAGTTAGAAAATACAGAATACAATAAGGTACAAAATAAAAAGTTTAAAAGACTCCCCCCACCACCTTCAGAAAAATGTATGCATTCTACCTTCACTGATGTATGCATTTTTCTGAAGAGAAGATCCATAATTTTCATCAGGTTTTCAATGAGGCCTTATGACCCCAAAGAATCACTGTTGTAAAGTATCAGTCATATTATCTCAGAAAGTGAAAATATCTATTAGAGGTAGCATGAGGTAGGCAACAGGTCATAGACTTTGGCATTAGGCAGATGCAGGGTCAGATCCTAGTTCTTCACTTCCAGCATGTGTGAATTTGGGTGACTTACTTAAATTCTCTGAGCCTCAGTTTCTTTATCTGTAAATATAGCTAATACTTAAACTAATAGGTTTATTATAAGGATGAAGGGAAATGCTGTATGTAAAGTACCCAGCACATAGAGGTATTAAATAAATATTAGTGATCTATTCCCTTGTCCTCTCCCCATCCCATGAACAAAATTGCACTTATCAGAAAAGAGGACTTTTATAGATATAAGACCTTTGAGATTCTTCAATGGTAGGGCTTCTAAAGTACTATGGCCTGTGATGAGGGAAAGATGTTGTGGGGGAGGAGGTGAGCAAAAGGCCATTTGCTACCATTATAAGTCACAGCAGCAGGACCTCTGCAGGTCAGGGTGATGTTTGCCTAGTTTTTTCTCCTGTTTCTAATTCTTCTCAACCCTTTTTTGCTCCTGAGGCAGAAACTAAAAGCCCGTGATGAGCCACCAGAAGAGATCTGTACCTGCTCTCAATTAGGAAACTTACTATCCCAACATCTGGGAAGTCCTTTGACCAATCCTCTTGGCTTTATGGGTATTGATGGAGACCTGAATACCTTGATGGAAAATGGCACCCTCTCCAGGGAAGGAGGCCTCCGAGCTCAGATGGATCAAGTAAAAAGCCAGTGTGCAGACCTCCACCGTGACTGTTGTGGGATTGTGGGCAGCCTTAGGGCCATAAATATCTATGGGGATGTGGGCATCTCTGGAGACAGAGGCATCTATGGAGACATGAGTACCTCTGAGACTACAGAGTTCTCCAGAGACTTAGGAATCTCTGGGGCCATGGACATCTCTGAGGCCACGGGTATCTCTGGAAACATGGGTATTTCTGAGGCCAGGGGTTTATCTGGAGAGCTGGGTTTCCCTGGGGATATGGGCATCTTGGGAGACACAGGCATCTCCAAGGCCAGCACCAATGAGGCAGACTACTCCAAGCAGCAGTGAATTAGTTACTCATCTGCTTCCATGCTAGGTACACCTACAGCAGCTACAATGATTATTGTCCCAGAGAGGGCTCTGCTACTTTTCCAATTGGTTTAAGCGGGTGAGGCCAGGGCACCCCTCTTCCCACTTAAGAGTCTAGAAGGAAATTACTTTACCGATTAAGTGACCAATATGTTCATATTAAGCAGTACAGAGTATAGCCAAGGCAAAGAATATGTTATTGTTCTAAAATGGGATTTAACTATAGAAATGTTGCCTCTCAGCTGAGACATGTATTAAACTGGTTCTACTATCTGTTTTCCTTAATGATTGACCTCCCCTATTTTCTACCCTCACTGATGTAATGTGAGAGTGAATGGAAGTATTTTCACAATGGTCAATAACGACCCATTTGAGGGGATGGAGAGATGGTATACACCAGGTAACTAAATTGCAGAATATATTAAAAGAAAATTTTACTTTCAGGTATTCTTAAGTCATGAGATGTTAGCTAACATTATTGCTAATGGAGACATACAATATTTCCCTGAGAAAGAAATCAAAATGATGCTTAATTGTTAGCATGAGTGCATGGGTGTTTGGTGGTTTGAAACATGTAAGGAAAGTTTTCTTAAGTTATGACACTTGCTCTCTCCAACCCACACCCCACCTAGGTCTTGTTATAATACTTAGCCAGTTCCCTTTTTCATAGATGGCTCATAGGTAAACTTGAATCCACTACAGTCTGAAATTATAAATTTCAAATTAATGAGTTTTGTATTAATAACATTGATTAATAGCATTCTCAGCATCGGTTCAGGAAGTAATTGAAAATCTTGGTGCTTCAGACTCAGACTGAGACATGGTCTATGTGCTTATCTGGGTTTTTGCAAAATACATCCCGTTTTGGGTCTTTTTATGAAGACAAGTGGTTTCCCTTTTCTGGATATCACATGAGATTTTTGGATTTTTTAGGCACAATTGGCCCTACTTTTAAATCTGGTAGGTTTATCACCTTGTGCTAATGTACACTTTTGAATAAAGTCCATTCTGATAGCATATACAGATACTCCTGGGGAAAGGGATGTATTTTTATTTAAACATCAGATTTTCTCCTAGAGCTTGATATACTTGATGGGTTTTTCATCTTTCCTGTTGGATATTTAGTCATGATTTTGCCACTTCCACATACTGAGAGTAGGATAGGCCTTGGTCAGTTTGGATCATGCTCTGTATATTCTCAGCAATTCCAGAACTCTTAATGCCAACAGAATACAGGTCCTCAACCAAAATGTCTTTTCCAAATACTCTATATTTGGCTTAAGCTAAAAAATTAGATGACTTAAAGAGGCATCTCTTGATTTTCACATCCAGTTGTGCACATAGAAATCTCTAGAGGATTTAGGTGCTTTCCTTCAAAAAAATCTCTAAAGGCTTAGGTGCTTTTCTTTGAAAGAAAAGGGGTACTTTTTAAGGGTTTAATTTATGTGTAGGAGAGGAATACCAGGATAGCTCCTTGATTTCTTTTCCCTAGCTAAACTATTTACCCAAAACAACCTCTTTAGTGGAAGAACTGTAAATCATTTTGGTTGTCTTTTTTTAATATATAAATGGAGTCATTTTTCTGTTTATTTCCTCTTGGTAACTGTTTTAATTCTTTGTTTTTAAAGAACTCTTAATTTATTTGGAACTTTCCCATTAATAAATAGGGCCATATCTTACTTACATCTTTTTGATAGCTGCCTTGATCTTATAATTTTAAAGCATGAGGATGATTTCCTTTTGTATCTCTCTTGTCCTCCTCTTTCCATGATTTAGTCCTTACTTTATATAAACTAAATCATCATTTGACTTCTTTTGGAAAATAAAACGGGGTCTGTACACACCATTTTGATCTGGAAGTTACATGTAATTCTGGCTTTGTGAAGGACGTTGCCAAAAAGGATGACGGTACCAATCTGCCACCAGTGAGCCATTCTGGAGCTTGCTCCCACACCTTTCTCCCATATCTCAATCTGTATTTTGCAGTCCATTAATTAGCATGATGTTCTGGATAGAGTGTGTTGAGTTTTCAGGGAAGAAAGTAAAAAGGTAAATGGTAAGACAGAGTAGTTTTTGCAAATAAAAAAAATTAAGCCTTGATTTATTCCTAAAGATCTGTACAAGGACAGTACATAGTACCTAACCTTATTTCTTAGATCAAAAACAAAATAATAGTGAAAGGAAAGACTTTTCAATATAATTCTAAACTGAGAAGTGGTAAACCACAACCCTGGTATTTCCAAAAGTAAAAACAAAATTTTTAAAAGACTGTATTATTTTGTTAATTAAGGCCACAGGAGCAATTTCAGTCTCAAAATCTGTGAGGTCAGTTAGTTTGGTCTTCGATATTTTTACTCTCCAACATGTCCCATTATTGCTTGCATATAACAAATACAGAACTAAGAAAAAAAAAAGCTGCGTGAAAATCACCTATTTATTCTCAACACCCAACACCTTTTGGGTTTACAGTTGGATTTGAAAATCTGAGAGAAGAAAAAGATGGAATCCAGATATTTATACACTAGTAAAAGCAGAGTAGCTATCTGTAGGTAGGAGCTCAGCAATAGTGAGGAGACTTATGAAGGTAAGTTGGCAGGAGTACTAGAAAAGATGATCTATTAATGGCTTTCACTTCATACTCTGATATAACACCTATGCCGCAAAAGAAATATGACTCCCTACCCACACTGTCCTACCCTACCAGTTCCCCAAGCAGAAATTCCATTCTCATGTGACTGCTTTACTTAAATTGGAAGGCATTTAACCACCTGCCACTGTCATCCACTAATCTGACCTCTGCCTGCTTTCTACACAAGTTTCACAGGCCTGGGGTTACTGCTTATCTTTTCTAAACATGAAGCATGCTCTGTTTCTGTGCTTGTGGCCAGACTCAAATTCTACCATGGCCACTGTTTTAAAAATTCATTAATTATTTGCTTAGTTGATGAAATGACAGATTTATCACAGTAATAAAGCAATCTTAAATAACAAACTTAAATAACAGCTAACACTTTTGACTTTTTAAAGAAGAAATTCACTAATAAGGCTTGCTCTATGAAAGAAAACCTGAAATTATATAGAACTAACCACAAGAATGTAAAGCTTATGGTGTATATATTAGACATATATATCTTTGGAAAGTAGCCTTAGAAATTATCTTCAATTACCAGCAAGTCAGTTGTCATTGCCTGCCAACATGCATGAAACACCTTTAGTCTGAGATAGCCCTCACACTTCACTAGAAGTGAGACCTTTCTCAGAATACTTCCAGCCAAAAGGAATCCAAATCTTTTTAAGAGGTGCTTTTCAAACCTAATTGGTAACTATTTAAGTTGGGTTTTAATTAAGTAGAAAGAGAAGTTTAATAACTAAAGATGATCGTGTTAGATCTTTGTTACATACTGGCTTTTATTAAACACCCAACTTTTCTTGATGCTAATTAGGCTTTGATATACTTTTGAGAAATCTCTCTGTGAGAGTATTTTATTAAGTGTCCTTTTTTCTAAACAATTGTTTAGGGAAATGTAAATTACCTTTATGTTAAAATACCTCTCTCAAAAGGGGTTTACTATACTCCAGATTGGTTTATACCTAGGAAGATAATTCTCACCTTCTCTATTAATTCCCAGTGTGTATAATTTAGTGATATATAAACCAAATCTTTACCCCACCTTCAGGCTTCTCACTCTCAGAATTCTATGTATGATACAGGCAGATTCTCCAACCAAATCTGGTTGCTTTATTCTAAGTGCCAAATCTACACCTGCTTTTTGATACAGACATTTAAAAACAAACAAAAAGACATGGCTTAAGCCTTACATGTTATTCCTATGGTTTTTTTGTTTGTTTTTGTTTTAATATACTGTGAAGAAACGGTTGGGCTGTCAGGCAATACCAAACAGACAGAGGGAAAGATGTTAGGTCATAAACGACTCTTGTTTTCTTGTCCTTTTAAAGGCAGTTGTGATTTCAAAGTATGTGATGGTAGCATAGAAACTTTTCCAAAGAAAAAAGAAAAAGAAAATCTGCTTTTCAAGCCCTATAGAACATGTCTTCTCTGATTCCCTGGCTGTGGGACTGACAGTCTTTCCCTTACTTTTAAATAGGAAGTACTAGTATTGTCACGAGCCTTGGCAGCTCATGTCTCCTTTACATGTCAATGCAAGTAAAAGCATGTTACATTCTCTACGATTTGTGACTTGTTTTCACAAAAGACAAGTGTGCTTTGAAAGCAGCTGTCTCATTTAGATCCATGGGTCTTGCAGGAACTGAGAAGTTGGCATGCTAAGTCTGGTGCCCTGTCCCTGGGTGCTTTTTAAAGCATTGGGGGTAACTTAAAAGCCTTTTTCTCTTCCAAAGCTTTATTAACCTTTCAACCATTTTCATGGCTTCGTACTCTGACTTTTTAGAGGGCCCTACACCAGCCCTAACAGAATCCTAGTTGTAGAAAAAGAGGTGGGAAAGGTGAAGGGAAGAGAATAATAATAAAGAAATACACCTGGCCAGTTCAATAAAAAGAGTGTATACTTATTCATGATTACCAGCATTCCAGTTATTTAAAATTTCATGTGCTCCTTGAGATTAAATTGTTCATAATAAGGTCCAAAAGTCTTCTTTTCCAAGTGGTACTGAGAGTAATCTATTTTCTTTTTAAGGCTTTTACACTGGTAGAAACTCTTTCCTTAAGAATGCTATGAGTTTTGTATTTTCGCTTTTACAGTGGTAGAAATTCTTTCCTTAAGAATGCTTTGAGTTTTGTATTTTCGTTGTCAATACTTTTCTCTGTTATGATATGTAGTCCTGGGTTTTCTTTTATTTTTAGAGAGTTAAGGCTGATGGGTGGTATTCTCTCCCCTTAGTATGTCCCTGAGGCAGATCAGTCCTTAGCCCTCTTTTTGCTTCTTGTGCTGAAGCATCATTGGATTTCTCACCAGTCAGATGAGAAACATACACCAAAGTCATAGATAATCACTGTTCAAACACCCATGTCCTCTGGTCCCACTTCACATGCATTTGGCCATACTAGTTCACATGCAGTGCCTCCAAGTCTCCACCTCACTTGCATTTGCAGACAGGGTGATTTATTTCGTGAATGCCAGTGAGAAGCAGAGCACATATACTGCTTCTGAAACAGCATGTTGTATATTCTACTTTGACAATGCGTCTGGCTTAGGAACAGCTAACAAGTTCAGTCCTTTCAGAATATAGCTCATGGTACAGCTGTGTGTGTGTGTGTGTGTGTGTGTGTGTGTGTGTGTGTGTGTGTGTGTGTGTGTGT